CCACTTTAGTTCCATCTCCAAATAATATCTGTCCACATGTGGCCACAGCACAGTAGTAAGTCCCAGCATCAGAGGAGCTGACGTTCTTAGAGAAGTGATAAACACAACTCTTCTGAGTGTCAGAGTTCCTATCACATTCATCACGTCTATTTCCATCAGTGTAGATGATGTCTGGATGAGATTTATCTGATCCGGCTCTGAACCAGAACACACTGTGATCTCCTGGACACATTTTATTCTCAGAGTCAGAGAGGACTGAACACTGGAGAGACATCGAGGCTCCTGGACGGACTGGATCAGATACTGTCGGCCACTGAACAACAGCATAGTTTGATGTCCTCTGAGTGTTTCCTGTGTGATACAGAACTGTGTTAAAGATTTGGCATCTCCACACATGCTTTGACCTACTTAATAGGATTTAAGAATAGTTAAAAGTTCAAATGTAATGTAAGCATAACACACAAAAGTTTAACAGGACACTCTACAGAAATTGTTAAGAAATATTAACACAGTGCAGCTTTAAGTGGTTAAAGTGATTCCAAACTTTGCCATAAACAGATCACATAATTACCTTTTAATAACAAATAGGTGCCGGTCCAGGTAATCTCAATCCAGTCCACAAATGCACAGTGATACATTCCCTCATCTTCTTGAATCGTCCTAAAAATGATAAAACTGCTAATAATCTTATAAACCTTAACATCCAATCTCACGGCAGAAAACTCTGGTCCATACACAGGGTTTACATGTTTACGCAGTCTCACAATTAATTTCAGAGTCTCCCCGGCACTCTGCTTGTACCAGTAGAGTCTGTCGTTAAACTCATCAGGCAAAACACAAGTTAAAGTCACAGGTTCACCAAGTTGAACTGTGGTCACTGGAACCAACGCATCTGGATTAAATGAAAATACAACACATGAAACACTAAATGACAATTAGTATATGATGCAGAAAGGTAATAACATGAGCAACCATACATCTAGTTTGCATGCAGATACTCAAATGAGAAAATATGTAGTTAAGATTACACAGCGCACTTACATCCTTGATGAAGAACAAGCAGTGTAACCCATAACAGGATCATCTTGACACTGTCTGTGATTTGGAAACTTGCTGGTATTTCAGTGGGTTAAGGAGGTGATGTCATATGACCACAATACTGTATGTCACACTGTCAAATGCATCTGATTGGTTATCACAGAACTTAGACTCAATGTGCATTTCCTGCCACAGTGGTCTTGAAGTACCTTTTATTTTGATGGTCAAAGTCCACGTAGTCATGTCACTCTGAAACTTTTTTTTAGCACACTTGCCTTTGTGTGAACTTTTTGTTTCAGGGGAGATTTTGTGTTGATGAAATCTATTTCTGTGTGAAGAACTCTTTTGTTTGTATGTGGTAATAACAGTTGACATGGTGTCTGTCGCTGCGTGCTGCTGAGGAGATATAACTTCTTCTGCGTTAAAGAGAGAAAACTAGAGTTGAGGCAGTTTCAAACCAAATGTGCAAGAGCATATAGCTTGTGTGAGGCACAGGGGAGGAAAATCAGGGCACAGAAAGGCACAAAGCAGCAAGACACACACAGGTAATAGTTGTTAAGCCTCTTTTTGTATCATTGTTTTGTCTTTTCATTTTAATTTCATTTCATTTCTTTCTTTATACAAGAAAGGAATTAAAAGCAACATTGTGTGTTACAGTTAAAACTGTCCTGACTCAGTTGGTTTTCAGCAGGTTCCTGTTATGCAACAAAAAACATTACAATACAAAATGAAAACAGAAACAATCAGCTGAGGCAAAATAACAAAACGTAAGCAGCTACATAAACACTACAAAGTAGTGGACTGAAGTGGATCACATAAAATGGGATATGGTGGTTGCAGGTCTGTCCTTCCATCAGATAGTGTTTCTATGCATGTTTGAAATGTGTAATAGAGGTTAATGCTCTGATGTAGTACAGGATCTTGTTCCAGATCTTAATGTAAGTGTGACCATAATTGGCTTTGTAAGGTGGTACAGGTACAGGTGGTGAGTGTATTCTGAAAGTAGAAGTAGAGTGTGTATGAGCATATCTTTGTCATTGTCAGGAATCCACAATAGTCAGAGAAATTGTTTAAGTAACGTTACAGAAAAGCATATCATCAGCATTACTGTAGCATACCCAAACTCAATCCTCTGACACTTCTGAATGAACTGCATAATTCATACTAGTACTGTGTATTTTTCCTATACTGAAGCAGTCTGCTCTGCACACATGTAAAAAAAAAATAAAAATAAAAAAAGTCCGCTGTGTTGGCAATAACATAACATTAAACTCTGAACAGGCTGTTGTTTAAAGAGTTCATGTATGACGTACTTTTGATTAATTACCTTTTAAATTAAGCTGTAGACCGCAAAATACATCAGCAAAGCCAGCTACTTCACTAGCCTGCTAGCTACTTAACATGCAAGTCAATGGAACCGCGTTAGCTACCGTTAGCATGACCTCAGCTCAATTAGAGATCGGTACGCCCACGTTTTAAGTAGGTGACAATTCAAATAGCTGGCTCACATTAGATGGTGAGTGGCCTTCGTATGGTCTTAAAAACGCTATACATTAGACAACGGTATACTTACATTTTGATGCGAAAGCTGGGCTACCAACTGCTCCTTTCGTGAAGTGTTCCGCTGTGAAGACAGAGCACAGCAGGTCATAATCTGAAAGCCACGCCCCCAAAGGGGAAACGTTTCAGATCCGGGGGTGGAGTTGTGAGATTTGGAAATCCATATCAAGTCAGATTGGGATCAAAGTGATCCACCCTGCCAATGTTTTGAAATACCCAGATAAAGTCAGCAGGATCACCTTGATCCCTGACTGTGAAAAGGAGGATTTCATTATCCGGATTATTCTGATCCGGATTACAAGTTTTGAAATACTGGGCCCAGGTCCTGACAATAGCAGAATCTGGTGCTAAATACTGAGAGTACAGCCAAGAGTGATGTCAATTGTTTGGCAGGTATTTGGTGAATTTTATTAATTTTTATTTATCCTGTGGGGAACATGACTGTCTGAACAAAATTTAATGGCAATTCATCCATTAGTCCCCAAGACATTTCACACAACATCATAAGCGTTAACCTGCTGGTTGCACTAAATGAAAAGTCAGATTATCACCAGATTTATTCACATACATTCCCAGGGGACAATGAATGTCTGTACAAACTTTTGTCCCGATGTATCCAACATCTGTCATGATATTTCAATCTGTATGCTGATTAGCTTGTTATTGTGTTTGGTGGCATCATTGTCTTGCCCCAGTTTAATTAACCGTGATCGGTGACTACAAATAATATTTAGATCTCAAATGTCTTTGGGCTTAGAAATTGCACCATGTAGCCCCCTGCAGACACATTCTCAAGTACAAATACTAATATTTTGTTTAACATAGTTTTCCCACATAACAGTAAAAAACTCTGAAAAGAAGTCAGAAGTCGATCTACTCTTTCTCCCTTACTGAGAAGTTTGGGATCTCGTCTTGTGCCCGACTACCTACGCAGCTTGCTGACAGCGTTAGGTGGACCAATGAAAGAGCAGTGCGCAGTAAGCTGGCAGCGTTAGCATTAGAAGAAACATCACTGAGATTCAGACATACATGTCTGAGCCTCAGTCACACCCAGACTTAGATGAGGAGTCTGTTTTGCACCAAAATTAACAAATATCAGAATGCTAAGTGTAGTTAGCATCTTTTATTCATGTTGTTGGTTAGCTTGTACTCAGCAACTCATGATATTCTGTTTCCAGAATCAGTCAACAGTCAGTGAACAGTCAGTCAGTGAACTCAGAGGAGTGCGAAGATTCCACGGTCTTGGACCCAGGCAAGCTACGACGGGGTTTTCTGTCGATAGTGGGAGGAAGCTCCAGAGCCTGTTCACATCCAAAAACTGCACACTCTACTATGTTTGCTGTCAAAACTTTTGCTATGCTAATGCCAACTATGCTCTCTGGACTGACAAGTCTGCTCTGCACTGGAGGTTTTAAATTACTTTTTCAGTGTTGTGT